GACTATGTAATATACGAATTTAACATTTGAATTTAGCATTTTCCTACTGGAGATGCTCTTTGGAAGGGTATTTAACAACTGGAATCCACTGGGTAGTGTATAATTTTTCCAATTTGAGGGGATTGCGAGTGGTCCCCAAATTGATTTGGTCTCCAACTATTTAACTTTACTTTGGCCATGTGTCTTAATCCTATTGAATTGAAAATTTTCCCTCCATAACATTTCAAGTATCAACTGTCATACATTTCATTAGACGGTTAAAAAAATGTAGTTTATATTTTTATATTGTCCCGTGTCAATTTAATTTATGCATAAGTTCTTTCCACATTATTAAGTGAACAACTCTCTCCATATATGTATATGGTATATTGTAATTTATATATATATATATATATTTTCTTTTGAGGAAGTTAAAGGTGTAATTTATAGATTAGTGTGGTAAACCTGTGCCTAGGAGGCTTGTTTTCCTAGTATCTGACATATTATGATGGTTTATTTTATTGGTATTTTAGTTACTAGTTAGTATCCGGAAAAAAATAATAATAATAAAAATAAATAAATTACTAGTTAGTATAATTGACGGCCATATTAATATAAGCATTGGTTTATATGGTGACAAATGAACTAATACAGACTATTCTCATCCAAATAAGATGTCATTTCATGAAATTGATGACATGGTGGAAGAAATTGGTCAAGTTGGATTAGTCAAGGACATATAGGCAATATGGAGGCTGAAGCACCATCATTCTTAACAAGTGTACGCTCTCACGCTTTGAATGTCCTCTTATTTTTAGGTTTTGTACGTGTTTTTATTGAAGTAATCACTTTGTGTGACTTAAATTTTATTATTTTTACACTTGAATTCACTCTCACTCCCACTTTCACTATATATGACTTATGTTTAGCCCGGAAAGAAAGAAAAATTTTGAATGAAAGTGAGAGAAGAATGGATGAATGAGACATCCCTAGCCTACTTGTCTTCTCTCCTCTCTTTCACCCATTTTTGAACCGATAAAAATTTGTAAAGGGGAAAAGATGACTCATCCCTCCTATTATCCTTTCGTTCCTTGTATTATTTCTACAAAACGAATGAAATTTGTTCATATCCTTCCTACCAAACAAAGCATTAGAATATGACGAAGCCATAAATTTCTAATTAGAGTCAAACTGTAATATGAAATTAAAATTATAAAATAACTATTATATTTTTACAATACAATACTTAGGCCCAATTCGGTACATGAAAATGGGAGGAAAAGAAAAGAATGGTAATGGAGGAAACCAGAAATTGTATTTTGTATGAAATGTTAGAAGGAAAGATAGAAAAGAAAAATGGAAAATTTGGAGGGATACTATTGGTTGGGTCAAATAATAGAAGGCTCCAATTTTATTTTTATTTCTTTATATGCTTTTAACTTCCTAAAATTTTTATTTTCTTATTTTATTAGACCCAACCAATAAAATAACCCCTATTTTTTTTCCTTATATTATTAAGTACCTTTCTAAAATTTTATTTTCTTATATTATTATACCCTAATCGATAGGGCCCAAATTTTTTTATTTCCTTATATTATTACCTCCATAAAATTTTTATTTCCTTATTATACCTCAACCAATATCTAGATTTAATAATGAGCCTAAAGAATAACTCTTAATTTCTATCCTTATCTAACCCTTTTTTATTCCTCCTCTCCCCATTCCACATCTTTTTATCCTCAATCTTTACATCTCTTGTATTAATTATTGAGTATAAATATATGGGACGATATAATATAATATATTGAGACAGAAAAAAGGCAAAACTTGAATGCAAGAATCTAATTAATAACTTTGTAAAAAAAATGAGGGACTTTTTATGGGGTTCTACCTCTGAGCATAGAAAGTTGCATGCCTTAGGGTGGAATAGAGTGACACATCCAAAGTCAGAGGGAGGTTTTGGGGTAAGGAGAATTGAGGACATCAATGGAGCAGCTACCTGTGTTTCAGTTTTGAAATTCCTGCACTCTAAGGACTGTTTATGGGTGGCTTGGTTTAAATGGAAGTATACTAGGATAGTTTCTTATTGGAACTACCACAGCAAAAACACTGACTCTCTGTTGTGGAAGAAGATGCTGGAAGTGAGGGAATTCATGCTTGCTAATGTAGATTTTCAAATTGGTAATGGAGAATCTACCTTCCTTTTTACTGACCCTTGGATACAAGGTGAACGTATGCTGGAGAAGATGGGTAACAGAGTGTGTAGGGATTTTGGACTTCCAAAACAAGCCCTTGTTTCCAGAATTATTCATGATGGGCAATGGCAGTTACCTGTAAGTAATGCAACTTCAGTGCTGCAATTCAATAATTTTGCTCTTTCCTTACCATTGAAGCAAGGTTCCGACCATCTGAAATGGAGACATGGTATGTTTTCGCTTAAAAATACATGGGATAGATGGAGAATCAAGTTATCTACTGTTGTCTGGTATGAAGTGTGTTGGAGTGGCTCGAGACCTAGAGCTTCGCTCATCTGTGCTCTTGCAATTCAGAACAAGCTACTATGCTCTGTCAACTTGAAGAAGAGAGGCATTCCTACCGTGGCAATCTGTCACAATTGTTTACATGCTGAAGATGACATAGATCATCTATTTGTCACATGCTCCTTAGCCAAAGATATATGGCAGTGGTTGTCTACGCTTTTTGGATGGCACATGCCTCAGTTTGATACTTTATATCATTTCATTCTTTGGTTTGTTGAGCAACGAATACAGCACAAGGCACAAAAACGAATTTGTGCTACAACAATATGGTATCTATGGGATGAGAGGAATAATAGACTACATCACGTACTTTTCAGAACTGCTACTCACATTGCCCAGGCTGTTTGTGGAGAGGTTTTACTTCTCGCAAATATGGAACTTGGGGAATTTGGTAGGGGAATTTGGTACTGCCTCACTACAAGCTTAAGTTGGCTTTTTGTTTCCTTGATTAGTTTTTTTTTGTTTGTTTACTATTTTACTTGCTTTGATTTTATTTTCCAAGAGAATGCCCTTGTTGTTACTTGTATATTCTCGATATATCTATAAAATTTTTCCACTTTATCCAGGGAAAAAAAAAAAACTTTGCAAACAAAAAAATGATTCTTTAATAAACATAATTGACTATTATTTGATATTAATATATAAAATATTAAAAGGCTACTTTAATATTTTTTGTTTGAGGCCTCAAATGATATTGAGCCGCTGTGTTTGTAGTATATATATTTATAATAAAGAAACCCTAACATTATAGGGAAACTAAGAGCATAAAGAAATTAAAAACATAAAGAAACTAGGATCATAGGAGAACTACTCAAGATTCAACTTTTACCAAAAGTTTTGAAAAATAATGTAAGAAGCCTAATTACCAAAAAAACTACTAAATACTGAAATTTAAAAATTAAGAATCGGTTTAGACTTGTAAAAAAATTCAAAAATATTTAAAATTACAAAAACGCAATTCCCGACGGTGGGATTTGGCCCAAAAACACCCTATCAAGTAACTTGTCAATCATCATCCTTTATTTTTTTCGTATTTTATTGTGTTTTTGGATCTCTATCAACTAACTGTCAAACTCACTCAAGACAAATCGTTAGCTCTAACAAACACTCCAGGACAAACCCTTGGCTCTAATACCACTTATTGTGAAATGATCCCTTTCATATGGCATAATGGAAGCAAGACACAAATAAGCACACCTAATAATACAATATTTTACGGAGAGAAGAAATTTCAGTATAATAAATGAAGAACATATATACAATTGTAAAGATGCCCACTCACTCACTTCCTCGTGAGAAATCACACAAGTAAAGATTTTGAACATCTAACTGTGTTCACAGACTCTTTGCTCAAGGTATGATATTGAATATTCGAACCTTTCACGATCTACCACTTCTCACCATCGGTGTTCTACCCACTTAATCATCATCTTTACCCCTTCCCACACACACTCAATTTATACGAGGCTACATATCTCTATACTAACTCTCTTCTCCATTCGGTCTCTTTTCTTCTCTACCCTCACAACTCAACTCCAACTCTATTTATGGAGACTAGAGAGTTCCTAACCCTAACTTGGTAAATAAGTAATAAAAATCCTTATAGGGGCAAGAAAAACAACTACTTGGGGCCCAAGTAGAATTACTTGGAGCCAAAGTCTAACAACACATCTCCAAACCAATGCAATCCAAAACAATCTGAGACATACAAAACAAATCAAGACAACAAAGAAAAATGGTGAAGGAAGAGACAGCTAACATAAAAATTTGCTTGGTACCAACCTATAAATTATTCAATTATTTAGAACAACTGGAGATCAAGAATTTTTGTAACATTTTTTCCCTTGGGAATTATTTGTAACATTCATAGTATATAGCATAATTTGGAATAATTAAACTTGGGGGAAATTAATAAATTGGAATAATTAAACTTGGTGGAAATTAAAAAATTGATAGAATTGGAGAAAAATGAAAGGAAAGAAGCTTGTGTTTGTTTCTGAAATGAGCAGATAAATGAGAGGATTGGGAGAAGAAAAAAAAGGAATGACAATGATTTTATTAGTGTTGTAAATGAATTGAGTCGAGTCGAGTTGAATTTAGGAATTTTCGTTAAGGTTTAGCAATCTTCTCTATTTGGATGGCCCTTGACACTTTTATCAATGAGAGAGAATTATTTGATTTGGAATGAGAGTGCCAAAAAGGATGATGAGATGACTCAGATGGCTAATGGTTCAATGATCTTTGATGGATATAGTTTAATAGGGTTTTTACATGTAAATGGACTTAGGGGTCTATATTTACTAAGTGGCTGAGTCAAAGCCTCATAATTTCAAAAAAATGAGATTGACTAAATAGATGATATGGACATGAACTTTTATGTTTAAAAATATTGTGTTCCCTAAAATATCCTTTTTCATATTCCAACACATTTACCTTATTGCCCCCTTTTATTTCCTCACCCAGTCTAAGCATATCTGGCCAATAAGCCATCATTTGTGCATCAAAATATCACAGAAGTGCCCCCTCTTTCCCCTCCTCTCTCTAACAGCAAATCAAGATTTGCGGCAGCTCGTTCTCTGTCTCTCTAACCAGTGAACTTGGAGGTCTTCTCCACTTCATTTCTCTTTGATGACCAATTCTATTTGGTGTGAAATCAAGCCAGTCCTAGGGTTTGTTTCTCACTCCATCATTCTCTCTCTCAAGGACAAATCTAGGGTTTGAGGTAATTTTTCATCTATTTTCTATGGCATAATCTGTGATTCTAAAATGTGTTTATATTTTTTCTTATGGGTTTTCCATCTATTTTACACATTCAATCCAATTTATGTTGATTACCTCCGGCTGAACTGAGCGATTTTAAAATAATTTTTTTTTCTTCTTAAAATATGTTTTATAATTGAGACATTGCAAAGGAATTTGTTTTTTCTTGTAAAACTTTATAAAAGAAATAGCAATTATTCTCTTGGAGTTGGGCAAGAACTGTTGGAACTGTAAATTTGATTGAACAGCTGGGATTTATATTACAATTAGTAAAGAATATTTTAGTAAACTATGTAAATGACACCTATATTTATGAGGATTTTATAGGAGTCTTTGGACCACTGTAGAAACTTAGAGAAATACTAATTCGTTGAAAAATAAATCCAGTACTAATTAATATGAAATTTAGAAAAAAGTTTTAGTTTCCTCGGGATATTCTTGCCTCGAGAATTATTTTTGCAGGTATTGGCCCCCATATCCACCCACAGATGTTCGGCTTCCCCACAAATGTAGTTTGTATCAGGTTTGGCACAAGTTTGAAGAAATATTGCATTATACTCTTGAAACCACTAGTTTAATTTACAGTTGTTAGGATTATCTTTTATTGGCTCCCATTAGTTTAATTTAATAATCTCACTCATATGGACTGTGGGACATTAAATTGATAATCTCTATATCCCTCATCCCCATGTTTACTAATATTACCTCCATCCCATATTAGTTATCCACTTCAAAAATTTTGACTCACAATTTTTGTGAGTCAAAGTTACCGAAGTAGACATCTAATATGGGATATAGGTAGTATATAAGTATATAAAAGGAATATGACTAAAAATAACCTCAAATGACTAAAAAATAAAATATAGTAGTGAGTCAAAATTTTTGAAATAGGCAACTAATAGTTTAACATACTTTCCGATCAAAGTATTATGTGATGGATTTTCTTTTATATAGATGCATTATTTTCTTAAAAGAAATAAAATTGTCATAAAATAATTTTAAAAAGTCATTGTTATGTGGTAGCAAGGAGTGCACCAGTAAAGAAGACGGAAGAATCAAAAATACGAAAAATAAACAGGAGCCATCACCCCAGGTGAGAATTAGATTTTGTTTTATTGTTTGTTTATTTATTTATGAGCATTTGTGTCATAGACATGCATGCTTATATACTTCCACTATAGGAGTCTATGGGTTCCTTGTATGTCGAACCACATTTTTCTTCTGTTATCTATATACTCACCAATTATAAGATGATGTGCTATAAAAGCTATAGCCCTAAATTTTTCGTAATTTTATTAGTGTACATTGATCTTATGCTTACACAATCACAAGCGATGTAGTTTTATTTAATAGATAATTTATAAAATTTGAACTGATTGCTACTATTCTTTTTAATTGAGTGTACATCCATCAAACTTTCTGATTGCATCACTTATTGGCTTATCTAACTGCTATTCGTTTATAGCTTCAATTCTAAAACTAAAATATCATATCATTGTATTATGTAACAGTTCTTATGCTGAACTGATTGCAAAGTTTCTGGATAAGAAACTTCATTATGGAAATAAAAGTACATCAGAAGAAGAATTGGTGCATACACTTAATGAAGTCTTGGTTTTATTCATCTTTATACAGGTAATGTTGATGTTGTAACATAGCAATAAAATAGACTCTTACATAATTCTTTCAGTTCTATATTAGAATTCCAATTTCTGCTCCTATTGAATTTGGTTTGCCAGAAATTTATATGCTGCTATTTGTCTTTGTAATATAATGAGAAACATCTGTCATTTTATTTCCTGTTGATTTAGGGCAAGGATGTATTTGAAGCATTCGATAAGACGGATCTTGCAAAAAGGCTACTCTTGGGAAAGATTGCTTCCCTTGATTCAGAGAAGCCTGTGATCTCTAAGGTGATAGATGTTTTACTTTTAAATGTACTATTATAGATCATATTTCATCTCTTCATCATAATATGAAGTCCTTGTTGCTATATAGTTGAAGACTAAGTGGGGAAACCACTTTACCAACAAAATTGAAGGAGTGTTCAAAGTGTGTATTTTGTTCATAACATGCATCTTTTGGTATTGGCTTCTGATTGAATTACATTTATGTTATCACAAAGCATGAGATCTTGTTGTTCTAGGTTGCTGCTACCTGCTAATGCACTATAAAACTTTTAAGGTTGGTATCACTTAGGTAACAACCTTTTTTCCCATAACTAATGTATTCCAAATTCCTTGAGAGTAACTAGACTTTATTGAAATTTGAAATTAATAAGTTTGGCAATTTGAATTTTCAGAATAAATAAATATAATGATGACATTCAACCCCACCCTCCCCCCTACATGCATGCTTATATGCTTCCCTTATATTGTATTTTTTTGTTCTTAGCAAAACTCACCAATGCTCTTTCAAAGACTATTTAATGAAGTGTATAGATTATCAAGAATCAGTATGTCCGCGCCAGGGTTGCAGTTCAGAATAAATGAAATTAATGTTGTGGTAACACGTGGAAATGAGAGTCTGGGACTGACAAAACTCCATACCTAAAGAGAAACACCCGACCCAAAAGTCCATTCCACCAAATAAAACTTGTATAAATTTTGCATAAATCAGTACCAAATAACATAGTTTTAAACAACAATGTACAAGCACACCCTCTCAAATTCGGAGACCTTCAGCCAACTATCAAAGCATAGTGCAATCATCTCACAAGCCATGATCCCAAGCTCGGCCTCCCATGTTTCATAATTTTGCCACAACGGTTTTGAATACCAATCCAAAAATTCAATCTGAAAAATCATCACTCATATTTGGTTTTATCTTTTTCTTTTTCTTGTTGTTTCCATCTTTGCCACACCTCCAAACGTCTCTTGAAGAACCTGAAAACTAGAAGTCATTAAAGTAATATGTAAGAGTATTTTTGGATCAACTTTAGTACATGTAAGGACCAAGCTTAGTAAATGTAAGGATCATAGATCACCTTCCACTGTTGGTTGTGGCTGGAATGATGTAGAAGTATTTTGGGTGTGTTCATGGTTGGACATCAAGCAGGGATGAGGTGCATTAGATGCTATAGTATATTACAGCAAAAAGCGAATAAAATATTCTATAACAAGACAACAGTAAAAATCAAATATTTTATAATAAGATATAGAACAGATAGGCTGGAGACTAACAATTAAACAAAAGGAAAAGTATTAAAATAACCAGATAATAATGCAAAACGAAAAGGTAATGGAAAGAAAGTATTCTTTAGGCTCATATAGATAATTAAAATAAAGGAAAAAAGTAAATAATGTGAATGCAAAAAAGAGTAGTATTAACCCAAAATAATAAAGACAGATAATTTTAAAGACTATGTCCCTAAGTTCTCTTTTGAAATCAAATATACAGTTATGCATGTATGACATCAGATAGACCTAGCAGTTTATTAGCCCAAGAGGAAAAATAATAATAATATATGCATGCATTACAATATAGAAGAATGAACAAGATGACAATATAAAAAGTGATTCAAATAAATCAAAACAAATTTGATAAAACAGAATGAGTAGAAAACTCCATTAAACTATAATACTGTCAAGGTTTGAATGCAAACCCTATAATCTAAGAATTTTGTTGCCAAAGTCAGTTGCCCTTCTTTCATATTGGTTTCTAGTGCAACAACCTTTCTATATATCGGTAAATAAAGTTTTTAGAGAAGACTGTGAACCATTTCTTAATCTATATGGTGGAATTTTTGAAATTTCATTCACGGAACAAAACAGGGATGTGGGAGGAGATCAAATTTGCTTATGGCTCTCTTCTTCCCTAGAAATGGGCTTCACATTGGAGTGTGATTCTAATTCAGTGACTCCCTGAATAGCACGCTTAAATGATTTAGCATATGAATCGTCTATTTGTCCTCTTCAGATGAAGCTCTTATGATTTGATGCAAAAATTTAGCTTCTATGCTATTTGATATTTCCTTACGTAAAAAACATTTCTTTATTGATTCATCTATTCAGTCTATTCTTTGTCCTCTATATTATTTGATTTTAACTTCAAGTATGTGGGTTGTTAAGTCTATAAATGTTGAGGATTAATTTGGGAATATTTCAGCATAATTAAGTGCTTAACGTTTGATATTTTTGTCACTTTTACTTTCGTTGACAATTACATATACTGTCCTAGTTTGTAGAATGGTGTTAATATAGTCCATATTGATTTAGTATATTATTAGTCGAATTTACATGTTCATCTCGTGCTAGAAGGATATCATTGTGATTAATATAATTCGCACAAGGTGGAACTTCTTATGATGCATTGTTCATTTCGCATGAAAAGAAATTGATGATGATGTCATGTTTTGTTGTGTGGTTGGGTTCGTTGAAGAAATACAATTTGCGAAATTATTAGATTCTGGATATATAATTGTTTGTTCATTCTCCATCAATGTTTATCCCACTATAATTAAGTGTTTAACTTTTGATATCTAATTGTTTATCTGATTCTTTGAGTAATTTTATTGTCTTTTCTGTTTCTAAATGTTTGCATTCTAAGGTCTCTAAATTACATTATTTAATTATGATCTTTATTTGTTTTCTATTTCATTATTTTTTGAACTTTATTTTATTTTATTTTATTTTTTACTAATGAGTTGATTCAAAAACAGTTGGAGAAATGGATAAAAGACAAATTGCATGCTTTTGTTGATTTGATGAAAAATTGACAAAAATGAGAGAGAAAATTACATACATCGGCGGTGTCATAGACCCTTTTATGATACAACAATAACAATGTATGAATCATTTGTAAATGAGTTACGAGAACGTTCATCTTCAAACATGAGTGACAAAGCCATATATTATACCACTGAATCTAACAAGAATGAACTTTTGAGGATGACGGGAGAATATGAATTTAGAGTGCTGCTTTTAGTAAGTCGTTCTGTGTTAAATATATATATCTGGAAAATGCAATGCCTGTAATTGCATCATGCACAATTCTAAGTGATCATAGTGAGAGGTAAGACACATATATGTAAAGTAATACATTGATGCATACGGTTCTACGATTTTTAGTATACTTTTTTTATCCACTTGTAGAGAATTTGTTGAAGCCACTGGTTACAATGTATCACCAATTTGTCTTCCGCACGTTGTGTCAACGTCTTCATTTCCTCCAACAAATGCACTGATGGGTAGTGTGAAGCCTGATAGATACTGTACACTAAGCCCCAACTCCACGGATCCAACTCCGCAAATTTTTTGGAGGGTATTTTGGTTATTTTCGTACTTGTTATATTGCCCTAATGCGAGGATATTTATTTATTCTGAACTCTCTATATCCTCTGCCTTTTTTTTATCATCATAGTGAAATCCCTGCAACCCTTGAACGTAGCCCTGAATTTTAGGTGAACCAAGTAAAATCTGTATGTTCTTGTTGTCTGTGTGTTTGTGTGTTTGATCTATTTCTTGTGTTTTCTATTTGATTTCGCAACAATTGGTATCAGAGCCATTAGGTTCGAGTGGAAGCGATAGGTACCGAAGGGTACAGAAGAAGGAAAGATCAAGATCGACAAGTTCAATTGTGCATATTTCAGGTTCTGGAAGATGCAGATTGAGGATTATCTGTATCAGAAGAAGTTATATCAGCCTTTTTTTTGGAGAGAAACCAGAAGAGATAAATGATGATAATTGGGCTCTTCTTGATCGACAGGTACTAGGGATCATTCGATTGACACTATCGCGCAACGTTGCCTTCAACATAGCAAAGGAAACGACAACAGAAGGTTTGATGACTGCCCTTTCAAATATGTATGAGAAACCCACTGCGTCTAACAATGTATATTTGATACGGCGATTATTCAACCTAAGAATGTCAGAAGGCGCTTCAGTGACTGACCATTTGAACAAGTTTAACATTGTTACGACTTAGTTAAGCTCTGTAAAGATCGAGTTTGATGATGAGATTAAGGCGCTGCTTTTGTTATCCTCTTTATCGGAAAGCTACAACGGTACTGTAGTTCTTCAGAAAAAAGAAAATTGAAGTTTGATGATGTTCTGGACTTGATCCTCAGCAAAGATATTCGCAGAAGGGAAATAGGTGAATCATCTGGATCTATTTTCAATACTGAGGGAAGAGGAAGAACTTCTGAAAGATCAGACTCAGATCGTAGTAAATCCAAAGTCACTGACCATCTGAACAAGTTTAACATTGTTACGACTTAGTTAAGCTCTATAAAGATCGAGTTTGATGATGAGATTAAGGCACTATTTTTCTTATCCTCTTTATCAGAAAGCTAGAACGGTACTGTTACAGTAGTGAGTAGTTCTTCAGGAAAAAGAAAATTGAAGTTTGATGATGTTCTAGCCTTGATCCTTAGCGAAGATATTCGCAGAAGGGAAACAGGGGAATCATCTGGATCTATTTTCAATACCGAGGGCAGAGGAAGAACTTCTGAAAGATCAGACTCAGATCGTAGTAAATCTAAATCTAAACATAGAAAAAGAAAATTGAAGTTTGATGATGTTCTGGACTTGATCCTTAGCGAAGATATTCGCAGAAGGGAAACAGGAGAATCATCTGGATCTGTTTTCAATACCGAGGGCAGAGGAAGAACTTCTGAAAGATCAGACTCAGATCGTAGTAAACAGGGGAATCATCTGGATCTACTTTCAATACCAAGGGCAGAGGAAGAACTTCTGAAAGATCAGACTCAGATCGTAATAAATCTAAATCTAAACATAGAAACAAGTCAAAAATTGGAACCTGCTGGAATTGTGGAAAGAAGGGGCATTTAATGTTTTGAGTGTCGAGTACCAAAGAAGAAGAGTGAAGGAAAACAGGAATCTATAAACGCCGTCAAAGAAAAGATTGTTAATGTTTTGATTTTGAGTGTAGATAGTTCCGTTGAGTCTTGAGTTCTAGACTCAGGTGCATCCTTTTACTTTACCTCACATCATGAAATCATGGAAAACTATGTTAGTGGTTATTTTGGAAAGGTTTATCTGGCTTATGATAAGCCTTTGAATATTGTGGGTAAAGGTGATGTTCGAATCAGGCAACCTAATGGGGCTGTATGGAAGATTCAGAATGTGAGGCATGTTCTTGTCTTGAAGATAAATTTGATCTCTGTGGGACAACTTGATGACAATGGGCATATAGTTAATTTTGTAGGTGGCTTGTGCAAAATCACGAATGGATCCTTGGTCTTGGCTTGTGGAAGCAAGACAAGTACTCTATACACGACAACAAACATTAAGAACGCCATTGTTATTGTTGATGCTGGCGTAAATTCAAACCTGTGGCATTGTAGACTAGATCATATAGTGAGAAGGGGATGAAGGTACTTCTGTCGAAAGGAAAACTGTCGAGTATTAAATCAGTTGAAATTGATTTGTGTGAGGACTGTATCTTCGGGAAATAGAAAAGGGTTAATTTTTCAAAGGTTGGCAGGACACCTAAGACAGAGAAATTAGAGTTGGTTCATACAGACGTGGGGGCCTTCTCTAGTTTTATCTCTTGGCAGCTCATTGTATTATGTTACATTTATCGATGATTCTAAGAGAAAGGTATGGATTTATTTTTTGAAAAATAACTCTGAAGTATATGATACTTTCAAGAAGTGGAAGGCTATGGTGGAGAATGAGGCAGGCTTGAAGGTGAAATGTTTGAGGTCTGATAATGGTGGTGAGTATGAAGACAGAGGCTCAAAAGAATTCTGTGCTGTTAATAGGATCAGAATGGAGAAGACTGTTCCTAAAATCCCGCAACAGAATGGGGTTGTAGAACGCATGAACAAAACTTGAATGAGCGTGCTCGGAGTATGAGGATACATGCTGGATTGCCTAAGATGTTTTGGGCTAACACTACAGTATACTTGATCAATCAAAGACCTTCTGTTCCTATGGATGGAGCCTAAGATGTTTTGGGCTAACACTACAGTATACTTGATCAATTAAAGACCTTCTGTTCCTATGGATGGAGGCTTACCAAAGGAGGCTTGGAGCAAAGAAAGAGGTAAATCTTTCACATCTAAAATGTTTTTAGCTGTGTTTTATATGTACATATAAGTTCTAATGCTAGAAGCAAGCTTGATCCAAAGTAAAAAAAATGTACTTTTATTGGGTATGGCACTGATGAGTTTGGTTATCGGTTTTGGGATGACCAAAACCGGAAGATAATTAGAAGCAAAGATGTCGTGTTCAATGAGAAAATAATGTATAAGGATACTAATCTAGGTGCTCATGCTGAAAATGATGAGTTTATTAAGTTGGAGGAAATCTCTAAGGAAGATGTGCAGAGGAGATTTCAGAACAATCCAGAAATATAGTTCCACGGGTGGAACAAAGCAAACCTATTACTGCATTGAGACAATCCTCCAGAGTCTCCAAACCTACACAGCGTTTCTCGCATTCTTTACACTATTTGTTGTTGTCTGATGGTGGTGAACCAGAGAGTTATGATGAAGCAGTACAGGCTGGTGATTCAACCAAGTGGGAGTCAGCTATGCAGGATGAGATGAACTCACTCATGTCAAATCAGACATGGGAGCTAACTGAACTACCAAAGGGCAAGAAGGCTTTACATAACAAGTGGGTTTATAGAATCAAGGAAGAATATGATGGCAACAAGCATTACAAAGCCAGATTGGTTGTGAAGGGATTTCAGCAAAAGCATGATGTTGACTACACTGAGATTTTCTCCACGGTTGTGAAGTTGACTACAGTCAGATTGGTGCTTGGAATTGTGACTGCATAAAATTTGCATTTAGAGCAGTTAGATGTGAAGACTGTCTTTCTTTATGGTGATTTGAGAGGAAGATATCTATATGAGACAACCATAGGGATTCACAGTGCTAGAAATGCAGGGTTTGGTATGTAAGCTGAAAAAGAGTTTGTATAGTTTGAAGCAGCCCCCAAACAATGGTATAAGAAGTTTAATGAATTCATGTGCAGTAATGGTTTCACGAGATACTATGCAGATCATTGTTGTTATGTTAAGAGGTTTGACAATAGCTACATTATCTTACTATTGTATGTTGATGATATGTTGGTTGTTGGGTCAAGTCTCGAGGAGATTAAAAATCTGAAGAAACAATTGTCTGTGTAGTTTGCGATGAAATATTTGGATGAAGCAAAACAGATTGTTGGCATGAGGATTTGCAGAGATAGAGTGGGTGGTACTCTGAAGCTGTCACAAATAGAGTATATTAAAAAAGTTCTCAGCAGGTTCAGCATGCGAGATGCAAAACCAGCGAACACCCCATTAGCTAGTCACTTTAGACTAACTAAGGAACAGTCTCCCAAGACAGAGGAGGAAGGAGCATACATAGAAAGAGTTCCATATGCCTCAACTATTGGCAGCATAATATATGCCATGGTATGTACCAGACCAGACATAACACGTGTAGTGGGAGTTGTGAGTAGGTACATGAGTAATCCAGGCAAGCATCATTTGGAGGTGGTAAAATGGATCCTTAGATACTTGAAGAGTACCACAGAAACATCACTATGTTTTACTGGGAAAAGGATTGCATTGCATGGTTATGTTGATTCAGACTTGGTTAGTGATATGGATAATAGGAAGAGTACTATGGGGTATGTGTATACTTTAGGTGATGCAGCAGTGAGTTGGGTCTCTCAGTTGCAGAAGATTGTGGCTCTATCAACCACATAAGCTGAATATGCTGCTATTACATAAGCTAGCAAGGAGATGGTTTGGTTGCAGGGTTTTTTGGAAGAATTGGGTAAGAAATGACTATTCATCTTGATGTTTATTTTATACAGTGATAGTCAGAGTGCTATTCACTTGATGTTTATCAGTCTCTAAGTGGGAGATTGATGGGTACTGTGGAGCCTGATAGATATTGTACACCAACTCCGTGAATTTTTTGGAGGGTATTTTGGTTATTTCCGCACTTGTTATGTTACCCTAGTGCAAGGGTATTTATTCATTCTGAACTCTTTGTATTCGTTGCTATTTTTTGATCATCATAGTGAAATCCCTGCAACCCTTGGATGTAGTCTTGAATATTGGGTACACTAAGTAAAATCTGTGTGTTCTTATCGTGTGTGTTTGATTTATTTCTTGTGCAACATGTGCATCGGGATTCTTTCTGACACATTGATGAAATTCTTTACGAGGATCAGCTTTTCAAAAGCCTAAATGATTTCAAAGATGCACTCGTTTTGTTTGGTCTTCGTAACCATTTTTGGTTCAAGTACTTGGATAACAGCAGAGTTGTGTGCAAGGTTAATAATTGTACATGGAAATTATCAGTGGGTTGCGAAGGCAGTAGTGATATAGTGAGAATCAAGCGGTTTAATAATGTTCACACTCACACTGCTCAAGACATTTCAGATTATAAAGCCATTTTTCGATCAAAGAAAATGGGTCGAGCTATTGTGAACAACGTTAGGGACAATTCTAAATTCACTCCCAAGACTATTTCCACAGACATAAGCAGTGAATTTTCTATTGACATGACTTACATGTAATCATGGAGAGCTAAAGAGTATGCACGTTATATCATTAAGGGCAATCCCGATGATAGCTATATTTTAGTCCCCTGGTTATTTGAACCAATAATAGAATATATTCCCGGGACAATTGCATCGTAGGAGTGCACGGATGATAGGAGATTTAAGCGTCGTGGGAGTAGCTTATGGGTGCTCTATACGAGGTTTCATCAACTATTGCAGACCCATATTGGCAATCGATGCTTGTCACTTGAATGGCAATTATAAAAGCACAATGCTTGGTATAACAAGTTTCGATGCGAATAAAGGCTTGTGGCCTTTAGTGTATGCTATTGTTTCTTCTGAGAATGATGATGATTGACATTGGTTCTTGACAAGGTGAAAGAGATTCTAGATGGTCGCATTGTGACAATCTTAACTGATAGCTATTCGAGCCTAATAAGCTGTATTAGAGATATTTTTGGTATCCAATACCACTCATGGTGTCTTCGTCACCTAACGGCAATTTTTTCTACATTCATTCTTGGGAGACAAAGTTTAGGATTGAGGACTTTAGATAAAGAGATTGCAAAAAAATTATTCGATAAAATTGCATATGCTCAAACTTTAGACAAGTATGAGAATGCATTGGCTGCTATGCGGGCATTTCGGGGGGAGTTGTGTGATTGGGTTACTTCTAGCGTTGGGATAAATTATACACCAACCAAACAGAGTCCTTTAATGCATGGGTGAAAGAAGAGAGGGTTTTTTCAATCACAAGATCATGGATACACACATGCAAAGACTCAGCAAATTTTTATACCAAAACAGTTTGAACGTTCAGAAGTCGACTATCCCAGCTTCCGGAGAAAATCCAAAATGAGCGAGAGTTTGCACTTAGTTTTAGTTTAATGCGTTTTTCGAATATTGAGTGTACAATATATGATTGACGCAGAAGACCATATAAGGTGGTATTTGGCACTGTAATGTCTTGTAGTTGTTTGAAGTGGACCATGATTGGGTTTCCTTGTTTGCATACATGTTATGCCATCCATAAATTATTTTTAAATATTTATGAGATGGTTGATTAAAATATAACAGAAACTATGCGAACATCTCATGTCTTTTGTCCCCATGCATGATATGCCGATTCCAGCTGTTGTTGCTACTGATGATGATGAAGGTGTTTCCTATCTTAGGTCTCCTACAATAACACGTCCTCCTGGACAACCTTGTATTAAACGAATCGAATCCCAATTTCAAAATGTAAGGCCATTGCATTGTTCGCGATGCGGTAAAACTGGTCATAATCATCGAAAGTGAAAGGCTCCTATACCCGGATAGAATAGTTATATAATTGTTAGTTCTAGTGGAGTTATTTTGTAATCATTGCTAAAGCCTTAAAAATGGAATTATTTTGTAATCACTATTAATTCCTTGAAGCTCTGTTAATGCATTAGTATAACTATGTAGTAATAGTATTTCTAACTTATTTGGAAAACATTTCTAAGTATGATGTAACTTATTCTAAGTTGAATCTCTATTATTCCTTTGGTGGTTTATTATGATATTGAAATTATGTTCCTGGGTCCCCATATGAGTCTCTTGTGGAATGTTATGCATTTGGACAAATGTTTCGATATTTATGTGATGCAAGTGCAACATTATGATATTTGTATGATGTTCTTGATGATGATCAGTATGACACAAAAGATTCTTTCATATAAAAGAAGTGTGTACAGTATTGATCATTAACTTGACAAACCTGGAAAATGCAATCTTTAATTATATTATGCTTTTTTTTTTTTTTTTTTTTTTAATTTGTTGCTGAATTTACAGGAAGGGGTGAAGTTAACTACTTGTATAATGTTGTAACTTTATTGTTTTAAATCTAAAAAAATTGAAAAGGTTAAGTAGGTTTAACCACCTCTCCCTATAAGATTTAGCTTTATTCGGTGGATCATCAAATACCCTGTTGTCCAGTGCCTACAATTACATGTTAATATTTAATGGAATCTCATTTTATAAATTGATGTATTCCGCTTTACTTTATTCTTGTAAGATTCAGTTGATGATTCAAGCCTTTTTCTTCCTTTTATATTATCTTTTTTAGTATAAAGATCCAAGGTTGTTTAGTTTATTTTAGCTGACATGTTTGTTGATTTTGTTTTGAAAAAAGTTTGCAAGGTTGCTCCAATTCCAGTCTTTTTCATTATATATGCCTATTCTATGTTTAGAATTAGTCTTTAGTTAAATTATTTTCATAATAAACAGATTACCATGCAAATTTATCTATGAATTGCCCCTGGCTTTTGACAATGCAAATTTATCTATGAATTGCCCCTGGCTTTTGACAATGTTTTTTGTCTTAGTAGGCCAAATGTTAAACGTAGATGGATAACATTTAAACATTTTAGGGTTTTTTGTATTTTTTGTATCCAATTATTGTAAGAGATTGACCAACAGGCCAGTGGCCTAACGGTATCAAGCTCCTACTTCTTAAAGAGAGGTCAATAGTTCGAACCTCAGTGAAGGCATATGTGTGTGAGTACCAACTAGGAAAAAAAAAATATTGTAAGAGATTGTTTTCATTTCTTTTCTTGTGAGGTAAAAATCATTTATATCCACCAAGATTTCACTATAATTAAGCAATAACATATTAAGTGTTTGAGCATAGAAAGTAAATAAATAAAGAGCAAATAAATAATTATTTATATAATTTCTCACTTATGAATTTTGTTCTCGTTCATGGCATAGACCATCTTCACTATTGTATTAACGACATGCAATCAGTTGACCTTTATTTCAACCCAAGGTGATCCCATATGGTGCCTAGGTTTTGTAGTGAGGCTTTGTGAGGATCTCGACTCCCTACCTTAGCCTACATTGTGCCGTTGCTTCCATGTTTTAAACAGTGTAATAAATTTCATATGCCAACTCCTAACAATTTTTAACAAGTTTTATAAATATATATTAGTTAATATATAAATATAACGGTAGATTTACAAGTAATTGTGAATATACAAATTTAACCGTATATTTAGAACTAATCATAAAAAGCCATGACATAATTACCTTATAATCGACATCTTCAGATGTATGAGTTGTAAACTTTACCTCACCGCAATTGAACCCATTATATTTACGTTTTTCCAAATTCAACGTCTCGCTAATTAATTTGTTGATCCATCCACGTAGACATGAAATCTCAACTATCGGTTTTGGGCCGTTAACATCCACATGGTGATATAAGCCATTATGATAATTACATTATAACTATTTGAAATAAAATGATAGACACATTACAAATATTATATCTTAGAACATACAATGAGAAAGAACAAGCATCCATGTATGTATTTACAACCTTCTCTTCCTTCCTTTTCTTTATAGGACGTAATGACTTTTCTCAACTAATCTAAAACAAACTTCCCCCAATTATACGATTTAATAGCATCCACATTGTCAACCTTCCCCAACAAGTTTTTTTTCCTCTCATTTTTCGACATGGGTGATAAAAGTGATCCACAAGCGAAAAGGACAAAAGCCCTCTTGAAGTCATCCCTAACAAGAAGAACATCTAATTGATGCGTTAAGTTTTGCACTTCTATTGCACTGTTCTTTACAAAATTGCATCAAAATTTTATTTCTTTGCCTTGTTTTGCGTGCCAAGCGCCATGGGATGTGCCTAGTTGGTTCCGAAAGTCGGTTGAGGCAATTTTTAGAGTTTGGGACTTTTGAAAATGCATTATTTGCCATTTCGGCATTTTTCAGTTTTCGGGCTGAGAGGTCCCGGACGGAACCCGCAACCAAATTTGTCGTGCACGGGATTATTTTTCAGGGGCTTTTATAATTTCTTGCATCATTATTTAGTGCATATTTATGTGGCTATGTGGTTAATTAAGTGTTGTGACATGTATGTATGAGTATGTATGTTATAATAATGATAAAATAGATATTTTGACTCCATGGGACCCGCCATTGATTTTGGTCATTACAAATGACCACATGATCATTTCTTGATCATTTTCCTTCTTCTCTTTCTACGGCAGTTCCTTCTCTCTCTCTACAAACTTTTCTCTTTCTTTCCCAATTCAAGGCCAGATCTTCCACCTTCCTTTGAGATTTCGACTTTGCCACTGAAGGCAAAGTTTATGAGCTCGACAAGAGCTTTGATTTGATCGGAGCAAAGCTTGATTTGGAGCACCTTGGGATTTTTGGTTTTCCGATATATTTGGGGCTTTTCTTCAATTGTTGAGGTAGGGGTTTCTAAGGGCCATTTCTTTGATTTTGGTACATTATTCCTTTTTAATTTGGTTAAAAGCATGCTTAATTTGTATATTTTAATTGTGGCAATTAGGGTTTGTATATGTGACATGTGATATTTGTAATTATGTGATAAGTGAATTGATATGCATGCCTATTTGAATTGTGGAGAAAATGCATGCTTGATTTGAATTATAATACGCCTAACATGTTTATATGCAATGAATATGAAGTTAATGGTGTGAAAGTTAATGTACTAATTATATCTTAATTGTGCAAACTTGAGCATGTTTTAATGTATGAGATTATATATTGGCATCGTGATGGCATTATTAGGACATTTATGTATGGACATTGGGCATGAATGGGGAATTGATTTTGAAAAGAAAGAAAACTTATTTTGGGGAAAAGATTTGAATTATTTGCGACAACCTGAGTGCCTAGGAGTTGCCTAGGGTCCATGGCATTAATGTGATTTAGAGGGAACTAGGGAGATGGCCCTAGTGTGGTTGAGCTATCTATCCCCAAATGATGCTTTGGAGATGCCTTGTGGTCAAGGATAGTTAGTCAATCCTTCTCTCGTGGCGCCATGGAGTTACAATGGGCCGAGTTGCATTAACAGTTTGGAATGGATAAACGGAAAAGTTTTGAAAATGGAAAGCGACATTGGCATATTATTACATCCCATTGGCATGGCATTGTGTATATATGGTTAAATTGACTGTGTTATTGTCATGTTTCCCCTCTAAAATAGCATGATTCCGTACTCTCACTTTCTATACTTTGTTTGGATTCACGTGGTCATTAAGAGGTGTGTTTTAGGCACCTCCTACTGAACCGTTGTGCTTTCCCTTTCATTATTATTTTCAAGTCTCAAGAAGGAAGTGGCGGACGACGTTCCACCACAAGCTTAGGTGGATTAGAGGACTATTTTTTGTTATCTTTTGTAATTGGAATTCCATTTTTGTAAAGCATTATCATGATATGTATAACTTTATAACTTGTGGCCTTGTAATTGTAACTATGATTATTTTGTAGTATTTTAATGTAACTTAGACTATTTTGTAATGGCCATTGAATCATGTAAAGAACTATGTTGCTACTGTTGGATAAATGGGATGAAATGAACTACTTTGAATGACTTTATTAATGATTATGGTTATAGGACGTTATATCGTATTTGTAGTGAGTTGGGACAGGTTTTGTAGCAAGTTTTGGCTCATAAGTGAGCCCTGTTGAATAAAGGATTATTGGAGTCAGGATTTTCAGGGCCTGTCAGCCGGTTGGCAAGGTTAGCAAGCCGACCAATAGTGCATTTCGAGCCAAGATAGAGAGTTGGGTCCTCAGAGATATTGTTTCGACCGGCTGACTATTTCAGTCAGCTGACCGACACAAGGCCATCAGTAGGCCAACACTGTCCAGTCCCTTGTCCTTATTTCCCTATTCACCCAGTCAGGCCACATTTCACCCTATGTATATTAGATGATGTATAAGTTACGTATTAACATTGGAAATGACCTCGTTGCGTTTAGATGACCTCGGGTCCGAGTAAGGACCCAGATAGCAATTCAGACCCCCGAGTTCAGGTCGTTACAAAGCTGCTTTACTTTATGTACTACTTTTATTTCTTTTATTTTCCTTTTTCTTTATGTTTTCGGAATATTTCCAATGCTTGATGATCTATACACTTCATTAAATAGTATCTGGAAAAGCATTGTGTGAATTTTGCTAGGAACCAAAAAATAAAAATACAGGATTACCCAAAAACTCCTATAGGGGAAGCATATGATCATGCATAGGGGGGTTGAATGTCATCATTATATTTATTTATTCTAAAAATTCAATTTGCCACATTTATTAATTTCAAATTCCAATGGAGTCTAGTTACTTTCGAGGAATGTGGAATACATTAGTTGTGGGAGAAAAAGGTTGTTACCGAAGTGAAACCAAGCTTAAAAGTTTTATAGTGCATTAGCAGTTAGCAGCAAAACAGAACAACAAGATCTCATGCTTTGTGATCACATACATATAATTCAATTAGAAGCCGATAACAAAATATGCATGTTATGAACAAAATACACACTTTGAACAATCCTTCAATTTTGTTGGTAAAGTGGTTTCCCCACTCTGTCTTCTATTGTATAGCAATGAGGACTTCCTATTATGATAAAGAGATGAAATATGTTCTAAAATAGTACATTTAAAAGTAAAACATCAATCACCTTAGAGATCACGGGCTGCACTGCAGCAAGGGAATTAATCTTTCCCAACAGTAGCCTTTTTGCAAGATCCGTCTTATAGAATGCTTCAATTCCATCCTTGCCCTAAATCAACAGGAAATAAAATGACATATGTCTCTCATTATATTACAAAGACAAATAGTAGCATATAAATTACTGGTAAACCAAATTCAACTGGAGCATAAATAGAAATTCTAATATAGAATTGAAAGAATTATGTAAGAGTCCATTTTATTGCTATGTTACAACATCAACATTACCTGTATAAAGATGAATGAAACCAAGGTTTCATCTAGTGTATGCCTAATTCTTCTTCTAATGTACTCTTATTTCCATAATGAAGTTTCTCATCCAGAAACTTTACAATTAGTTTAGCGTAGGAACTGTTACAAAATACAATGATATGATATTTAGTTTTAGAATTAAAGTTAGAAACAAATAGCAGTTAGATATGCCAATAAGTGATACAATCAGAAAGTTTGATGGATGTACACTCAATTAAAAAGAATAGTAGCAATCAGTTCAAATATTATAAATTATCTATTAAATAAAACTACATTGCTTGTGATTGTGTAAACATAGGATCAATGTGCATTAATAAAATTAAGAAGAATTTAGGGCTATAACTTTTATAGCACATCATCTTATAGTTGGTGAGTATATAGATAACCGAAGGAAAAGGTGGTTTGACATGCAAGGAGCCCAGAGACTCCTATAGTGGAAGCATATGAGCATGCATGTCTATGACACAAATGCTCATAAATGAATAAACAAACAAAAAACAAAATCTAATTCCCACTTGGGGTGATGGTTCCTGGTTTTTTTTTTTTTTTTTTTTTTTTTTTTTGGTATTTTTGGTTCTTCCGTTTTCTTTACTGGTGCACTCCTTGTTACCACTTTACAATGACTTTTAAAAATTATTTTATGACAATTTTATTTCTTCTAAGAAAATACTGCATCTATATAAAAGAAAATCCATCACATAATATTTTGGTTGGAAAGCATGTTAAACTATTAGTAAACATGGGTATGAGGGAGATAGATCTATCTCATGTCCCACGGTTCATATCAGTGAGATTATTAAATTAAACTAGTAGGAGCCAGCAAAAGATAATCCTAACCACTGTAAATTAAACTAGTGGTTTCAAGAGTACAATGCAATATTTCTTCAAACTTGTGCCAATCTTGAAATGGGGTCCAATACCTGCAAAAATAATTCTCGAGGCAAGAATATCCCGAGGAAACTAAAACTTTTTTCTAAATTCAAATTAATTAATACTGGATTTATTTTTCAACGAATTAGTATTTTCTTTAAGTTTCTACAGTGGTCCAAAGACTCCTATAAAATCCTCACAAATACGGGTGTCATTTACATAGTGTACTAAAAGTTTCTTTAGCACTAATTGTTATGTAAATCCCAATTGTTCTATCAAATTTACTATTCCAACAGTTCTTGCCCAACTCCACGAGAATAATTGCTATTTCTTTTTAAAAGTTCTACAAGAAAAAACAAATCTCTTTGCCTTGTCTCAATTAAAAAACATATTTTAAGAAAAAAAAAAACATATTTTAAAATCGCTCAGTTCAGCTAGGGGTAATCAACATAAATTGAATTGAATGTGCAAAATAGATGGAAAACCCAAAAGAAAAAATGTAAACCCATATTAGAATCACCTCAAACCCTAGATTCGTCCTTGAGAAAGAGAGAGACAAACCCTAGGTCCGGCCTGATTTCACACCGAATAGAATCAGGCATCAAATAGAAACGAAGTGGAGAAGACCTCCATGTTCAGCTGGTTAGAGAGACAGAGAATGGGCTACCGCAAATCTTGCTTCGCTGTTAGAGAGGGGGAGAGAGGGGGCGGGCGCTTCTCTAATATTTTGATGCATGAATGAGGGTTTTGTTTAGATTGGGTGAGTAAATAAAAGGGGGCAATAATGTAAATATGTTAGAATGGGGAGAAAGATATTTTAGACAACACACAGTAAAAGTCATGCCCATGTTATCTTTTTAATCAATCTCATTATTTTAAATTATGGGACTTTGACTTAGCCACTTAAGTAAATTGGAGTTCTAAACCCTAAAAACCCCTAGTTTAATTGTAGCCATCAGATTTATTTTAATTCAATAGCCCACACAATTGATAGAACTTTTGGGCCTTTCAAATATGGGTCTTATTTATAAAAGGAATGCCAGTGGATTGGGCCTTATATAATAAACTTGTGGGCTGTTATGTAAAAACTTGTGGGTTGTCGACCTATATTAACTTGTGACCGCGGCTAGCGTGCCTTCAAATTCAAGTCATTTATATGGATCGACCTTAAGAATCTAAGTTTACTTGAGCAATCTAAATTGTTCATGAATAATTCAGTTCATCTGTAACTTTAATTTTCATTATTCATCTTAACTAGTAGAATTTGAAAGGAACTAATAGGAGGATAATAATTATCTGTGTCCTCTTTTCGAAGAAAAAAAATTGAATTCCCATTTACTACATAGTATTCATATAAAAAAATAATCATTTCTTTCTTTTTATTTCATTTCTCTCATTAAATTTTTATCTTTCTTAATTTATCGAACCGTGAAAAGAAGTTAACATTGTCTTGTTCATTTTTTTTTTATTTTTTTTATTTCTTTCCTAACTTTCTTTCTTCCCTCCTAGTTAGAGTCTCATGGATTTATGGATCTAAAGTCTGAGAAATGTTTGCCTCCTAACAGGTAAGAAAGAACCTCCTACTAGCTAATATTATATATATTTTTTCTGAATTAGTAAGGTGTTGTTTGATAAAATTAAAAATTAAGCATTGAAAATTTTAAGTACTGAATTTTAAGCGCTAAAATTTTAAGTGCTGAATATATTAATCTATAAACTTGTTTGATGTTGCATTACTTTTTGTTTGATGTTGCATTAATTTTAAGTACTGAATATATTAATTTATAAACTTGTTTGATGTTGCATTAATTTTAAGTGTTGGATTCATTAACATTGTCATTAATAAAATATTTAAAAACTTAAAATCACTTACCGCAAAGTCTATGATCACTTACCGCAAAGACGCTGGACAAGCCTTCCGGGCCGGGCACTTGGCGTGGCACCAGATCAAGGATTGGGTTTGGCTCTAATACCAACTGTAACGGGTGGGCGCTTGCCCATTTACCCAAAAGTTCGAACTATTGGGTAGTGCTGTATACCCACCCATTTATACCCAATCTCTTTCCCATCCGATTCCGATGTGGGACAAAATGACCCTTGTTACACTTAGCCTGTTGCCTGTTTTAAGTTACTACGTAACATTTTAAGTAGTAACCTAAATGCTAAATGTTATCAAATACGCTAATTTTAAAAATATGCTTCCGCGCGATATCAAACAGGTCATGAATCATTATATTATGGTTAAAGCGCTAAACTAATAATAATAATAATAATAATAATAATAATCTGCTATGTAAAAAATGTGCAAACACCCCGCGCGATATCAAATAGGTCATGAACCATTATATTATGGTTAAAGCGCTAAACTAATAATAATAATAATAATAATAATCTGCTATATAAAAAATGTGCAAACACCCTTGTTATTTCGTATGTGCATATAAATTCCTGTATTTTAAAATTTTGTAACAAATTGTCCCCTAGTCATCAATTTTTACCTTTTTTTAATGAAAATTTCAAAATACCCATAATAAAATTTGTGCATATGAGTGTGTTTTATTTATTTATTTTTTTGTATTTTGCTTTAAGGGCATTTTAAGTATTTTAGTATTAAATTGAAAAAATGTCAAATTATTTGCTCAATTTGAAATTGTTGGGATTTTTTGAATATAAAGGAGTTATTTGCATGATTTGTATATAATAGGGTGTTTTTTTTTTTTTTTAAAATGCATTATATTTTTAGAGTACCTCATAATTTACTACCGAGCACATAGACGGAGCAAGAAAAAATTTTCAGGGGCGCACATTATATTATTGTATACCACACCATATATTTACAATATAATGTACATATATATAAGTCGATGTTTATGAGTATATATAGAGAGAGAGAGAGAAAGAGATATTCATATTTTTGGAATGAAATTAATTTACAAATATAGAATATAAGGATTAAGGAAACAATTTAGGAGAAAAAAAGGGAAATATAATTCTATGAAGAATGAGAAAATTCAAGGATACTTTCCATATTTTCATAAAAAAAAACATATATATTATTATAAAATATATATAAATATATAAATAAGATAGGGAGAAAATCCAGGGGCACGCCCTAGTCCTTAACTCCCTCCGTCCCTAACCGGCACATACAATCCTCCCGTCTCAAATGCACCAAGTAATTATAGAAAATTTCTCTGAGAATGACTGTAAGGGAATAGTATAATGGCAAAAACTCTCACCTCAAATCACATATTCATCCGACACATATAAATGTATAAGTTTTTTAAATAACTAAATAAATAAGAAATCCCTTGCAGTGGATTTAAAAAAAAAAAAAAAAAAAAAATGGACTGGCTTACCATGGGCCACGGGCCACATGGGCCGAACATATCATAACACCACCTGTATACAAAAATAAAAGATCCACACATTGTAACTTGAAACTGAAACTGTTTTGTTTTGTGTGCGTTCTTAGAAACATTGTAGAAAGTAAAAAATGGTGGAGGAACAAGAAACATCAGATGGCTACCTAGGATGGAATCGAATCCGCTACTCTCATCTCCAGTGGACAAAAACCCATTTCCAATCAGATCCCCAAACCCATTGGTCTATGCCAATGGTGGCCATCACAGACTCTTCCTCCACCGCCGCTGCCGACGACGGTGTCTCCGTCGTCTTTCCTCCCAACGACCACGAAGGCCTTCACATCTCCAATCAAAATCAACCCAATCATCACTCACCGTTGCCGCCGTCGCCACAGCCACCACCACCAACGCCGCCGTTATTGTCAGTTTCGCCATACGTAGTCAACGGAGAGGACCCATCACCGCCCCTGACAAGGTGGTTGAGATTTGGGTTTGGGTTCTTGGGTTCCAAGGTTACTGGCATCGCTTCCTCGCTTCGATATTATGCCGCCACTAGAGGGACACTCTGGTCATTTCGCTCTGCTGCCGGCACGGCAGCGGCTCTGCTACTGTTGTGGCTGTTGCACATGAAATTCCGGCGGCAACGGCATTCGCGGCGGATTCGGAGAGAGAATGAGGATCAGCTGCTGCTTGTTATCAAAGAAAAAGACAAGGTTAGGTTACTTTCCATCAATTATTCTTAATTTACTCTCCAAGTGTTTGTGAAAATGTCTATGCCAATCTTTGTTTATATAGTTTTTGTGAAATGGTTTATATAGTTAGTTATATGGAAACTGTAGCCATTCCTAATCCACTATAACAACATTAAATTTGTATGTAACTTGGTTCAAATTACTGAGGGAGAGATTTTAAGTTGAGTGTCATTACAGGGCTATCTGTATGTGAAATATTAAATTTGATAATCCAATTAGTATTAGAATTTTGGGCATGATATGGAGCACCAATGTATTTTGTTAGGTCACTGGTGTTTATATACAAGACTCTAATTAGAAACAAAATCAAAGAACTTTATTTATTTATTTTTAACACTTGAATTGTGTAAGAATTTCAATTTCGTACCTCGATTAACTCAACTATTTTAGTAATTACACGAAACGAAAGGTGTTTAATGTGATATGATACACATGATAATATACTTTAGTTTAGTATTCAGAAATATAATATGTAAATAGGATATTACAGAACAGTCTAAGCATGTTAGTTTTGGTGCAAAGTGGTTTGATTGGGTTATGATATTGAAAAGACGAATATTTGACAGAGTGTTTTGAGTTTGTGTGTTAGATGGAAGTTGAGCAGTTATCGATGTCAGATGGTGGGATACACAAAGATTGTCTTTTAGTTCTTTCAAAATGCATGAAGAAAACCATCAAAAATTGCTGATCCTATTGACTACAAATGGTCTAGAGAAGGTTTTTGTGGGATCCTGCCTCAAAGTTGTGGAATGTTAGTTGAGAGTATGAAAAGTGCGGCCAAAATTTGTTAGTTCTTTTCTATTTCAAAACCGAAACACTATTAGTGAGTTTTTTCGATGCCATATCCTGAATGAGATTCTTTGAATTATTGTTGCATTATAAGGTAATGAATATGAAGTGTCTCATCAAGCTATGAATTAATGGATTTGTTGCTGCTAATCATGCTGTTAACAACCATCTACTCCAAAAGCTTAAGTCCTTAGAGAGGTGTAAGTTAAATATTTAAATCCTTCAACATGCCCCATCACGTGTGGCCTTCTTTTGGTCCAACTGGTGTTTTAAGTTTTAAATCAGGGTGATGATGAAGTTTAAACACAAGACCTACCCTACTTTGATACCATGTTAACAACCATCTACTCCAAAAGCTTAAGCTGTTAAAGATGATGTAAGTTAAATATTTAAATTTTTCAACACATGCTACCTACGACTATTAGTGTTTATGCATAATGTTGTCCCTTATTCTTTTACTCTCATTGATGCATCCAGCTGAATGTTTATCCATGTGCATTGCTATTAACCCCTTCTGTCCGGTACTGTTTCAGTAGCATTGAATTTTGATATACTGGTTTGCAGAAAATTAACGAACTCTTGCATCAAATTGCTCAAATGAATCAAGTATTGATAGCCATTCATAGAGTTACTTCATCCAAAAAAATGGTTGATTAACAAGGTAACATTCACCAACTTGGTATCAACTTCTATAGGCCTACCTAAGCATTGTAATATTGATGCTCGTTGACTTGATCAGTGGCTGTGTTTTCCTGTTCTTTATTAATTACAGTATAACATGTCCTTCCTTTGTTTCTTCTCTGTACTGATATGTTTTCATTATGAGACCTCTACTTAGCTTAGATCATAGATTAAAAGGAGGTGCAGGTTATGGGTTTGGTCTTTACGAAGCTTATATACGAGTCCGAGAGTACCTTGAAGTCTTGAACTCTTGGTATCTACCATTTTGTCCATTACATTCAATTGCATATATGTTCATGCTTCTCTACCTTGTCTCTACATTTTTCTCCTAAATTGTTAAAGGTTAGAAAAGTTCAGTAAGGCGACTGACTAACTCGTATATAACACTTCTAATCACGTTCTGAATAAAATATTTTATGGATCGCAGATTGTCCTAGGAAGTGGAATGGGAATGGAAACATGGTAAGTCGAGACTCTACAACAATGATGCTGTAGGGATGGGCATATTTTGAGGACATAATTGGTTGATGATAATGAAAGTCTAGTTGTGATGGTGGATTTCTTTGGCCAAGAGTTACAGGACAACTAAAAATCAAAATGAACAAGTTAGTTTCTTACTTATGGAAGTTTCTTAATTTAAAATTTAGCTGGTAAAGCGATGTCATTGTGCTACCCTTTCTTTTCATTCCTCTCCTAAAAGCTTCTCTACTTCAGAATACTTCTTTTCATTACTCTAAAAGTTTCGTTATTTAAGAAGAAAATCAAGATATAAGAATTTTTTTTTGGATAGATAAAATTAGGTGTGGTTTGATAAACCCAATTAAGTGCCCAAAAATTTTAAATTTTTAACTTTTTTTAGTTTCTAAGGTGCATTTGATAAAGCAAAATTAATTATCACTTGAACACTTGAAAAGAACATTTCTCTTACTAAGGAGAGAATTCAAGTCAGACTGAGATTTTAAGCTAGAGAGAACTTCTATTCAATGTTGAATACGACACTTAAGTGAAACTTGGTTTTAAACTTCAATCTAACTCTACAAATTCATTCATAATTTTTTAGTCCTATAAATTTGGATGTGCTTTGGAGTGACAGTCTTCCATGCTTCATAACACGTTCCAGTCCATGGATTACTTGGTTGTTATCAACTATAATTGATCGTATTATGGTCAAATAGCACTAAACACCCCTCAACTACTAACTTTGTTGATAAAATAAACCCTCGGACTATTAAAATGTAGCACGGTCAGTCAGTCACCCCCGAACCAAACTTTCGTCTGTTTTAGGTGATTAAAAAAAATTAAAAATAAAATTGATTATGATGCCCTCACGTTCAATTTTAAGTCTTTCTCTCTACATAGGGGCACCTTCATGAAAGATCCTGGATCCGCTCTAGGAGAGACCATGGTTTTTCCGGCACATCCGAGTTTGTGGGATGGTGTTCGTAAACTCACCAAGTCGGCTCAGCACAAATGTATAGCGACCCGCTGGTGGGTGATTCAGTTCTCATCGACCCTAAACTTGGCTGAAGTTTCGCTGCTGTTGACGGTGGTTGCAAACTTGCTCATCTCTCATAATGTTGGGGCCAATAATTTTTTTGATCATGTGGAAGTTCCTTGAGAAGGCATTGATGGTGTAGATCAGGCCTTGGATGCTCGTTCTCGCTTTTCTTTCCAGCAGATTTTGTTTCAAAGTGTCTTTTATATTTTTGGGTCAATTCATATGAGAATGTGTTTATATATGTGAGTTTCTACATCACTTTGGTGAATAAAGGAAACATCCACTAATTATTCATACTAATCACTAAGGCCAGTTTGGTTGGGATCAAAAGTTACTGTAATTTTCGTTGTCGAAGTTGGTTATATATGTGAGGATCAAAGGTTCACATACCCTCGGTTTGGTTAGGACAAAATTGATCATTGTAAATTTCGCTCTTGAACTTTTGATCCTTTCTCTCTTCTTTTTTGCATCAATTTTTGTTACTATAGTTATCTTGGTTCAGTTTTGGATACTTGAATATGCCTCTACTCCCTTACTTTCTCTCTCTGCTTTTTTAGTTGCTCGAATTTTCTCGAAATCTGGTTTTATTCGACTTTTATGGATTAAATTGTATATAACTGGTCTTGATGAAGTTCTGAACTCCCTCTCTTTCCAGTTTTGTGCTGATCAAATTCAGTCAAGCTTTATTTCGCGTTGTAGTTGGGACCGAATTTGTTACTTGAATTTTCAGTCCCTAGCTTTTTGTCTGAAATTTGTTCCGAGTTTTGTTGATACTGTTTTTGAGCCTTGAATATTCTTCTACTCAGATCACATACATGAGGGAAGAGAGGAAGAAGAGATGGCATTGGAAAGAAATTGAAATGAGGGCATGATAGTTATATTTTCTTTCTATTTAACAGCTAAAATCGACGGACGTTTTGGTCAGGTGTTAATATGCTACATTTTTATAGTTCGTTACTCTATTTGCTGAGTTCATAGTTTAGTTAGGGGTGTATTTCGAGCAAAGTTGATAGTGTTTTGTGCAATTTGGCCATAATATTATGCATTTCCAATATGGGAAAATTTTTGAGGGAGAGTGATTTTCATGAATCAATAATTAAATATTTATTAAATTCACATCATTTTATACCGACTCTCCACTCAGGTATTGTCAGGCCTTTTAGAACATTTCATAATTTATCACCCAAACATGCAATACTCTCGTTCCACATGCATGTCGAACAATTACTTTCCCGATAGGGAGGGGTTCTAAAGAGATTCGAACTTCCCATCTTTGTCAAAGCAGGATGCAACACAACATACAACTATGAAAAGCATGTGTTTATATAGCCATTCATTGCTGCACTTGCTTTGACCACACCCATGGTGTTTTACTGGCATGGACCTTCTCCAATACTTTTTCTATCCAATCTTCTCAAATCCTAAACCTAACGGTTAGAAAATATTATATCAACATTTTTGTTTGAATTAAGTTGTGTATTAAATTATAGCATAGTACGTGTCTATACAAGCGATGACATGGTTTTACATTCACGTTTATGGATCCTCTCTAATACGTGCTCTCTCAAGGCATTTTCAATTCACGATAAAAGATGTATCATATATGTATCCTATCATCATTTGTGTAACTACACACTATATTACGAGTTTATACACAAATACATTTAAATCATGGTGCATTGTATCGGTTGATATGCGATGTATCACGCGGTTCGTAACTCTTTTTCAAGGGTTTGATATCATTACACACCTCCATGAATCGCCGATTCAATTGATTTACACCGATATTCGCTCAAGTCAATTATACCATGATCGATACCACGACTACAAATCATAATTTAAACAAAAATGAATTTTAGAACTTTTTCAGCACGGGTGAAGTGCAAAAAACACCCCTCTAGTTTTAAATATGTACAAATAACACTCCTCGTATTCAAATCACACCCCCTAGTATGAAAAGTGAACAAATGAGGGCTTATTGTCAAGAAAATAAATTGAGATAGGCAAATAGACTAAAATGCCATTCACTATACATATAACAAAGGGTAAAGTACAGTGACACCTCCTGAAGTTTGATAAAAGGACACTTAGATGAAAGTTTGTCTATTTTGGGACAATGACACCCCCTCAAGTTTGAAACAGCTACCAAAGACATTCAAATGGTAATGAATTGACATTTTTGGTCTTTGACTTATATATTGACCAATTTAAATATTGAAATGACCATTATAGCCTCATACCCCATAACCATTTCATCCCTTCTCTGCTCTTTTCCTCCCAACACCAACACACACATACTGTCACACACAGATACACATACACACACACATCCATACACACACACACACACACACACACACACACACACACACACATACATATATATATATACACACACACAAGGCGGTGGGATTGTGAGTTTCCTCAACTCTCTCTTCACCGCCGGAAACTCAAAGAAAGCCACCATCTCCGACGGATCAAAGACAAGTAAATTGGCGGTGGATCGAAGACGCCGTTGATGAAGAAGACAAGCAGATCGGCAATAAAGTGTTGTGAGGTCCTCCCGGTCCAGGGGCAAATGCAGGAGTTAGGGATGGTCCGGGAGCCATCGTGTCGAATATAGGCAGAACCGGAGCTGTGCCGACGAGGACAGGCACCGCCGGTTTCTTCAACAGGTGGGTCCGGATAGATTTGGCGGATGCGAGTTCGCCGTTATTGTCCTTGGCTCCAAAGCCAACTTTGCTTCCTCTAATGGGTGATGGCAATAATGGGCGATGGCAGAGATGAATCAGTGGTGGCGCAGATGAGGTTGACAGCGGAGAGCTTCAACTTTGATGATGTCGGCTGTGATGGAGGTGGCGGCGAGCTCGGTGATGTGCAAGGCTGAAGACGGTGATGTTATGGCTTGCTCGTGGATGGTGGCGGCAGCAAGCTTGGCTTTGGATGATGGCGGACGGCGAGCAAGGACGTCCAAAGAGAAAAATCCGGCGATGATGGCTTCACTGTTCTGTAAATGAGTTGCTCTCTCTTGCTTGCTTTTTTTTTTTTTTGGGTTTGGCTTTGTAATTAATTGGTGGCGGTGGGTTGGGTTGGGGGTGGGGATGGTGGTGGCGGTGGGTTGGGGGTAGGAATGGTGGCGGGGGTGGGTTTTAGTGTGGTGGTGGCAGCATAATTGGTTGTAGGGTTATAAAATTGATTGGGTGTTGAGGATAATTTGGTCATTTAAGTATTTTGATATTTTATAATTAAAATTAATAAAATAATGAAGGGGTAAAATGGACTTTTCGTATGTTTTAAGGCTGTGTTTGGATGGCAAATTTTGCAAGAGGGTGTGGTTGTCCCAAAATAGGCAAACTTTCATCCAAGTGTCCTTTTGCCAAACCTTTGTACTTTACCCTATGACAAAAAATAATTAAAAAATCTTAAAAGATGAAATTACCTCAAAGGACCTATGGGATACGCTTGGAACACGACCCGTGGGGATACGCTTAGATACGACACCGTTAATATCTTCTCCCGTAAAAAATGCACAGACACCTGAAGTCCCTTGGGGATACGTTTGGTTTCGGCAAATATGAGCGGTGACAAGTTTGATATGGTGGAAACAACCCTTGGTTCACGATGGTGGCGTGGTTTAGACCACGAAACGGCAGCGTGATTCACGTCAGTGGCATGGTTTAGCTGGCGACACCTGTAATCTTCGGCATGATCTCAAGTCTTCCATCGTTGTCGCTATAAACAAATTGATTTACTCCTGCCATCGTCGCTTAATTAAGATCTTCACCAAACTCGCTCGAATTTGAACTCCCAAGAACCTTAAAAACAGGGGTATCAATCATCTCCCACAACCACAATTCGACTATGATCTCAACTCTTTCATGAAGAGGATCGAACTTGTCAGTCAATTTACTTCGAAAATCGCCTCCCACCGTTGATGTCCCCAAAGAAAAAAACGATCTTCCTCAACCTCAATGAGACTCTAGTTCACTCCACGCCATATCTGTCGCCGGAAAAGTAGGATTTCAATGTCCGGCCGACATGAGAGTGTAGAGAGAGATATGTAAAGTTGATGTGTAAAGATTAGCGATGAGGTGTAAATTTTCTGGACAGATGGATGGTTAGGATTGTCTGGACCATAGCTGAGGAGGCCCAGGACGACATGGGCCGGATCTGACTTGCAAGCACTACATCCGGTCCGAACAGCTGGGTCAGCCCATATAAAGACGCTGCCATATGGGCCGAACGCGAGTAAGCCCATCAAAGGTGACCAGGACTTATGGAGGAGCAGGCCCAGATCCAGCAATCAGTCAATATTTGTAAATATCTTGTAAATATCTATAAATAAGGGAAGGAATGGAAAATGCAGGGGGATCTTTTTGGTTGAAGTGTAAGAATTCTAGAGAGAGAAAGGGGGAATGAATTTCTTGCATCTTCAATTGGCGCCATCTGTGGGAAGCGTATGGAAGTTTGGTTGATCAATGAGGAATATCGAGTGGATTCAGACCAATTCGGTTGATCGAGACTCGATCTTTGGGATTTGGATCCAGATCTGAGCGATTGTGACCTACTCTGGAGGAATTACAATTCTTGAAGCTTTGGCAGAAGTGGCTTCAGATCTACGCAGCAACGAGTTGTTCGATTGTGGCGGGATCTGACGGATTTAGAGTTCAGACAATTCAGATCTCGTAAACGGTGAGCGTAATTCGGAGAATTCGAAACCAGATCTGAAAAATTCCCACTCACGAAGCTCAGATCTACTCGCGAACTTGAGATTAATGCCTTTACTCCGTTCAGGAATAATGATAGGTGAAAGCTCCAATCCGATGGAGGCTGTCCAGCAAACAAAGCTTGAGGAGTTGATGAACTTGATTGAGGCTCTCAAAAAAGAGAATGCAGAATTGAAAGCTGGAATGCAACATCGGCAAATACCTGCGGTTTCGCATCCACTTCCGGTCGGTGAAGGAGGTGTTCAATCTAATATCGCGCATCAAGGCGAACAGGACGAGAACAATCAGTCAGCTCACCATCATGATGAAAGGATGATGGACAATTTGCAGCCAAATATTCGTCGAGTTGAAGATCACGAAGGATCGACTCACGTTGATCCGCATCGGGAAAGGTTCGACCGAGAGGAAGTGATAGAGGTTGATCGCCGTCGAGTAGCGTCGCCTTGGCAAAGAGAGTTCATAGAGGAACGGTCGTTCGATCCGTCTTACCGGCCATCCATGGCTACTATCACTCATCGCGGTTCGGAGGGCAGAACCGTAACTCACAGAGCTACCGCTGGACTCCAGAGAGAGAATGAAGCTCTCCGATCCGCAGCTCGGACGGTTGATTCACCATTCACCGACGAGATCTTGAATGCCCTGCATCCAAGGAAGTTTGCTATGCCAGTCTTTATTCTGTTTGACGGAACAACCGATCCGATCGATCATGTGTACCATATCCAGTTGAAAATGGCCCTGAATACGGAAAACGACTCTTTAATGTGCAAATGTTTCCCTACAAACC